ATTATATATTTATTATACATATACATATACATAAATATATATATATATATATATATATATTTTTTTTTTAAGTAGGCTCCATGCCCAGTGTGGAGCCCAATGAGGGGCTTGAACTCACAACCCTGAGATCAAGACCTGAGCTGAGATCAAGAGTCGGACACTTAACAAGACGGAGCCACCCAGGTGCCCCCATTATACATATTTTTGAAGCAAGTGAATATATACATATGTAGAAAAGAATAGGTCAAAATGTTTATGTACTATATGAAAAATTTTAAATAAGTAGTTACTTAATCATTCAACATTCACTAAACAATATTTATTAAGCACTTAGTATGTGCTAGGCATTATGCTGAGTGCTAAAGAAACAAAAGAGAACAATCTGTTAATTTAAACCTGTTAATTTAATCCACTAAATTAACAGTGATTTTTTAAAATGACCACAACCAGCATTGGTGAATTTGAGGAGGAGGAGACCCTCATATATTATTGTGAAGAGCGCCAAATCTGAACCACTAGACCACCAGGGAGGTTTCATATAATATTGTGCAGAGTATAAACTGGTAAAACATTTCTGGAGGGCAACTTAGCACTTTCTATTAAAAGTTTTAGAAAAATCCATTTCATTTGACCCTACAATTCCATTTTTAGGAATTTATTCTAAAGAAAGGAGTATAGCCTGCTTCTCCCCCTGCCTGCCACTCCCCTGCTTGTGCTCTCTGTCTGACAAATAAATAAAATCTTAAAAAAAGAGGGGGGGAGTATAAAAATATCTATCAAGCAGCTCATAAATGAGTGGGTGACTAGGGGGGAATCTAAATATTAAACAATGCGGACTTGTGTAAATAAAACATCGTACATTCATAATGCAGAATACTAGAAAGTCGTATTTAACCTAAAAATGTTTAACAGGGAAAAAAAGACCAAAATATAAAAGTGAAAGGTTTAAAAAGAGTGTGATACTAAATTGCTCTGAACTTGAGCAAATCACTTAAGTGATCTGAGTCTGTTACTTCATCTGCAAAGTTTAGATCATTAAGGATCCTTTCAATTCGTACCTTACCTGAGCCTCGGTACTTATCTTTTATGCTTTATAAAGAAGATAAGTCACCATTGGCACAAAGTAGATGTTACTGTACTAAAGTATTTCATCTGGGGATTTACCAAAAGTTCTCAACAGAGAAAATATGTGTTTCAGAAGTAAATCCCCAGTTTTTTTTCAGGGTCTAATCTACCAGATTAAAAAATTACATTAAAAAAAAACACACATAAAAACCAAGCATCATGCTTGGTTTTGAGACCACAGAAAGACATTACTGCCCTCATGGAGTTGAAAGTCTTGTAGAGGAAACCAATAATGATAAAGAGTGATCAATGGCAACAGAGCCTTGAGAAATGTTTTCTCCAGGAAATAGAGAAAAGGACTCCAAAGGAGAAAGAAACGCATATACACAGACAACATACTTGACGAAGAGTGTGGCTGACACATACAAACAGACCATTATTTTGTGGCCTTTCTTACAGCCTCGTCCTTCTCCCAGTCAGACAACACCCCAAATCTCTGTGGACCCTGAACGAGAGATGTCCAGCGGCACACTGGATCACCTACAGTCGCAGGCGTCGTCTCGATCGATTTCAGGTGTATCGGCCGGGCGGGTGAGGAACTGGCGGGAATCTGCAACACACAGGTAATAACCACTGAGAATCCAAGAAGGGCGATTTTGTAGAGGCCGCCCTGCAGCTCTCAGCTGCCGCAGGCACTCCTAGCCCAAGATTTCCCGCCAATCTCAACTCCTCCTTCTTCCTAGGCCCCGCCCACTCTGGAGGGGCTGCGAGCTTTGAGGGCGGGGAAGCGTTGGGTGTCTATCGATATCTCTGGGATAGACTGCCCTGCCCTGCGCCGCCTCCGTCAAAATCCCGAAGGCTTCTCTGTAGATCGCCGAGTGGTAGTTTCGGCAACTTTCCTGAAACCGCACCTCTGCAGGAGGCCGCAGCCAGACCCGCGCCGGAACCATGGTGCGTTGGATTCTGAGCGCCGGCAGGGTTGGGGGTGAGGTCCGCCGGCAAGGGGATGGCGAGCCGGTCCTCCTGTCATCCTCAGAGCGGCCCGGGGCCACGGGGTATGGGAACCTCCGCCAACGGGAGGGTTCCGGCAGTGATTCAGCATCTCCGGCCTGGCCGGGAGAGGGGCGGTGGGTACTCCGTGCGACCATTCTCCGGGGTTCGTTTAGCTTTCTGGCGGGCCTGGGACGCTACTTCCTCGGTCAGCTATCTGAGTTCGCTCCTCCAGTTCCTTCAGTGGTGTGGTTCTGAGCGGCCCAGAGTGGCCCCTCGTGCTCTGTGTGGGAGGGAGGAGGAAATAGGGACTTGACTTCTCGGCTTCACTGTAATGCTAGTGCAGACTTGATCCCAGGGTTTGGGTTCCAGGACAGCGTCCATTTTACTTGTGGGTTCATCTGATTTCTCTCTCCCAAAGAGCTTGATCAGAAAGGGTTCTTTTCCCGGCGCCCGGATGGCTCAGTCAGTTAAGCGTCTGCCTTTGGCTCTGGTCATGATCCCAGAGTCCTGGGATCAAGCCTCCTGTCGGGTTCCCTGACCCTCAGGGAGTGTGCTTCTCTCCCTCTCGCTCCCTCCCCGTCCCCCCGGCTGTTGTGCTCTCTCTCTCTCTCTCAAATAAATAAAATCTTAAAAAAAAAGGGGGGGTTCTTTTCAATCACTTTGTCCACTCACCTATTTTTACGGATGAATAAACGGAGGCTGAGAGAAGTGGTGATATCACGGTTACCACCTAGCCTCAGGGCTTCCAGACTCCTATCTGCCATTCCATCACTCAACTTTCTCGCTCTCCCCTCCGTCCCCCGATTATTCTCCCAAGATTCGGCTAGTAGACTTGTTTTAATGTCCTTATTAAAGCAGTAATGGTTCTGATGCTGTAGCTATTTGTGTCAGTGTCTAACTTCCTGAGAATATTCTTGTGTTTATTCATTCAGTATGAATGTATATATGTTCAAGGCACTGTTTTAAGTGCAGTAAGGGTTCAAAGATAAATTTGCCATATCCATAATCATAAAGTAGAAGGGGACGTGTGGATAAAGAACCGGTGGGAGTATATGTTGGAATTTTGGGAGAAAAGATGGAGAAGACTTAAAGAGGTAGACATATGAGCTAGTTTATAGAAAAAGAGGGAAGAGCATAGGCAGGGAAGGGAAGGAAAGTTGACACTATGAGCTTTAGTAATTGAACCCAAAGGGAGTGCTACAGTAGAACTGAAAGTTGGGAAGTTAGGTCTCATCTAGATCTGCTCCTCACTTCTATCTCATGTTTGCAACTGAGTAATCTTCCAATGAGGTTGTATTAACAGCACATGTTAATGTTGAATCTAAACAGATGGGAGAACATTTTTTAATGATAGAGCTTATTAAAAATTGGAATTTGTAATGTTCTTAAATCAATAGGTGTTTTTTCTTTTGCTTTCAGTTTCGCAACCAGTATGACAATGATGTCACTGTTTGGAGCCCTCAGGTAAAAATGTTTTATACTTGTGAAGTAGCTTTAGAGGGTCACCTAGCTAGCTCACTGTTAGAGCATGCAACTCTTGGTCTTTGGGTGGTGAGTTTGAGCCCCACTTTGTGTGTGGAGCCTACTTAAGAAAGAAAGAAAGAAAGAAAGAAAGGAATTCATGAAATTGTAGGCTGTGAGAAAATGGAATATAATCATTTTAGACATTCCTGGAACCTAAATTTATCATTAAAGTAAGTTTTCTAATTTAAAAGAAAAATCATTTGAGATTTAACTATATTCACCTGAGATTTGGGAATACTAGATCAATTTTAAATATATAAAATGGTCTTGTAAGATGACTCTAAGATGTGTTGTTGTTTTCTCTTTAGGGCAGGATTCATCAAATTGAGTATGCAATGGAAGCTGTCAAGCAAGGTTCAGCCACAGTTGGTCTGAAATCAAAAACGCATGCAGTGTTGGTTGCATTGAAGGTGAGTGAGGCAGTAAATAAATCTTCCTCGTGTAGAAAATGGTACTAACAAATGTAAGTTTCACTGTACAAATAATAAAATTATAAATGTGTTTTTATGTTTTATAATGTCTCTGTTTAGAGAGCACAGTCAGAGCTTGCAGCTCATCAGAAAAAAATTCTCCATGTTGACAACCATATTGGTATCTCAATTGCGGGACTTACTGCTGATGCTAGACTGTTATGGTGAGTATGATCATGAAAAACAAAAGAAACATCCCTTTTGATTCATCCAGCTAAGATATTTGAGGAAGTTGTCTGCAGAGTTTCTAAGTTCAGATTGTGATACCTTAGTGGATTTGGGCTCAGTTACTAAGTACTCCATTTCTTGATCCCTATAGTAGTAACTACTAGAATTAACCATGTTAAGAGTAAAGCTTTAGAGAAGTCACCAAATAATGTGATACTTGTTAACTCAGGGTATATTGTTTGAGACAATGTTATGTCTAAGAAGAGCTTGACACTTTTGTCTGGTTTCTAATGATCGGAGGAACTACCCTTCCTTTCTTTAATATGCCAGTATTTATTAGACATATATTTTTTGTGAAGCTCAATACTGGATACCGCATGGTACACAAGGGTGAGTCAGATATGCATCTCGTCTTTTAGGAACTTAAAATCTAGTAGTATATCTATAATACCAGGTAGATTTCTGTGAGAGTCCAGGGGAGATAGAGATTACTTCTAGTTGAGAGGTGTTGTATAAATGAAGAGCTGGGGTTTGAAGTCATGCAGATTGAGTTTCGTTCTCACCTTTACCACTTAGTATTTGAGATGAGGCTGGTTACTTAAACCATCGACTCTTTTTTTTTTTTCCCCCATCAATTCTTTTAGTATTTTATTTTTCAAGGTTATTGTTTAAGAGCCTAACATGTAGAGCATTTAACACAGTGCCTTTCAGGTAATATATGAATGTGTGTTGGGAGATCAAAGGTAGTTAGCCAAAACTAATTTCTTAAGTCTGTGATTTAATTAGGGAAGAAAGAATATAAGCATTAAGGGCAAATAGTAGTGCTACTGTTTTAAGTTTTCAGGTTACCCGGCAAGCTCCCTGCTCTCTTGGGTTGGCGATACAGTGAGAGCATTATTGGTTTCTGAAAGCTCTTGAAAATGTAAAATATGTTGCATGGTTAAACGTTTTATTTAATCCAATCTATCCAAAATATTGCCATGTCAACATGTAATCAATATAAAAACCTGGTTAATGAGCTCTTCTACATTGGTTTTTGTACTGAGTCTTTGAAATTTCATGTGTATTTTGCACTTACAGTACTTCTTAATTCAGACTAGCCACTTTTGAAGTGCTGAATAGTCACATATAACCAGTACCTGCCATGTTGAGCAGTGCAGTTTAGATAGCCTTGGGAAATGGCCTTCAAAGTACTGAACAAATAGCATGGTTCCCGCAGTCAACATTTGATTCTCAGATGTGACATACACATAAACTGGACAAAGCAACATGGAAGGAAAGGTGCATATCCATTTCTTGCTGTTTATCCTCTTGTCTTTAATAGTTAGGCATGAATTCCCTTTTCCCCAGGGTTGCATTTGCTTGAATCTTGCCAGGGTTAACAGTGAGGCTCAACAGTCTGGTGTCCAGCGTCTCCTCTAGAGTGCTGCTTGTGGGTAGAAGCACTGTTGGCAAGAACATGTCGCAGTGCCCTAGTACAGGTTCTATTTCTTGCAGTTGCTCTACTGGGGAAACTTCAGCTGGTTCAAGACCTAGCATTAAGACAATCTTGGCACAGTGGGAAGGGTAAGAAAAGAGAGCTTGCTCTTTTTCTCTTGCTCAGCCTTCTCTGTTCTCTAAAGTGCTCAGAGACCAAGTTTATCTAGAGCTAAGGAATATTTTAATCTTTTTTTTAAAAACCTCAGGTGGCCCAAGAGTTTGGTATAAATATGCATCCTTGTGGCATGTCTTTCTCATTCCCTTGTGTGGATGTAATCCATGTGAAGCAGGCAAAAAGAAATGAAATTACTTCATTTAGATTGAAATAACTCTGATATGAAATAACTAATTTTCCTTGTTTCTTTTTTAGTAATTTTATGCGCCAAGAGTGTTTGGATTCCAGATTTGTATTTGACAGACCTCTTCCTGTGTCTCGTCTTGTATCTCTAATTGGAAGCA